GGCTACGAAGGCCTACAATATTTCCTCTTTTTCATGATTCATACACATATCATAGCTGTTTTCACAGTTGTTTTGCTATTTATCTGAAAACCCAACCGTTTTGGGACGAGTAATTATCGATTAAGGAGGAAACTTACAACAATTAAATAACACAGCCCTTCCTTTCTGACTGATCGATTCATTTCAAGGTGAACAGGGGTATCTTCTGGGGAAGAGCCAGTTCGATTGATAAAATAACCAACTCTCAAATCGCTGAACATTAATTTGTATCACGAATTGTAACTGATCATAGAATAAATCTTCTGTTATAAAACTTACTCTCATATGAAACTACCCTAGTCAAAAAAATCTCCCACGAAGAGAGGTTGAGTTTTGTTGTAGAGTTAGCCATACCTTTAATATTGTTATGAAAACATTTGAAATTATTATGTCTTGAAATAAAATCAGTTAATGTTTCTAATTGAAATGTTCCTTACAAAGTTAACGGTGCCCCAAATGTTGCCTCAAAAAATATAAAATCTTGTTCGAATCCTCCTTATAAAATCAAACGTCCTTAAATACTGTCATAGGAAATGTAAAAAATTTTGCAATGGCCTTCCTCATATTTCCAATACTGTTACAAAGGAATAATAAAATTCTTTTGTGTAATAATAAGATTCACCAGATCTTAAATTTGTGATTTAAGTACTTTGTAATAAAGTCTTTAAGAAGGGTTTATCTCTGGCACATAGAAATTTGGAGGTAAGCTTAGTGAAGTTAATCACGTTTATGATAGTCTCGTAAAAAAAAATAAAAACTGTTTGCCATGTAGTTAAAGATGGCCTTTCCTGTAACGTCCCGAATTTTCGCCCCACTCGAAATATTTCAAAAATTTTTAACCTACAGGCTAAGACTAGTATAGCCCAGGATTAACGCACGCACACATCAATGCCCCCTATGACCTCAACCAATCTTGGCATGGGATACGCCATGCGTTCGTCTTTCTTCCGGGACTCCAGCACTATCTGAATCATGTATGGAGTACAATATGAATCTCAATGGTAAACCGTTGTTAAAAACTAAATTTTCGCTCTCTTCGTTCGATAACTTATCATACCAGGGAGAAGACACAGTTCTGACCAGAAGTCAGAGGACTTACAGTCAAAGGGGAAGAATGAAGAAAAAGATTTGGCAAGAAAAAAAAAAAGATTTTTTGCAAAATGTAACCTTTTCGAAAACACTGTTAAAGGCACAGATTGCGATTGTATTGTCCTACAAATCATGTACTGAGGATGAACTTTGCCTCTTGAAGATAAGCTGTTGTCGTGGGGAGAGATTGCCGAGAAAGTAAGTGCGTAAATGTTCGTAATTCCGCTCATTTACGACTTAATAGAGTCCTAAAAACCTCGAGCTATCACCATGGTGCTTCTAAACTCGTTTTTTGTCCTGACAATGTCACTTACCGTCTCCTCGACAGCAAAAGTTCGTTTTCAGTACATAGTCAAAGGAAGCAATTAAATTGTGAATCATGCCTGCGAGAAGAAATTACTCGAAAAAAATTGAAGATAGCAATGTATAACCATTTGTTCGACTACTGAAAGGTGAATATGTGGCAAAATTCTTCACTTTCTATTTGAACAGTTCGTATGATTGAATTTTCTCGGACTATTCAAGCTTTTCATCAAATAGAATGCCAGTATTAAGACAAATACTGGAGAGGAAAGGTTAAAATTTGGCCGTCTTTGCAAAATGAAAGTGCGCCCTCAAATAATAATGCCGATATTAGACAGCTCGAGTGTATGGCCCTCCTTAAATGAAATCGTAATACTTAGGCGTCTTACTTTGTCGTTTTAGTAAAATATTCGTTTAGGTCAATGCGCTATGGTACTGATCGCAAGCGAGGTACAATTACTAGTAATTTAGTCAACTTGAGAAGAATTATTTGTAATTTTATTAAATTTTTTCTTGCAGAAAACTCCCAGCTGTCCCCCATTCCATCCAACAGCCTGCTGTGAACTTCTTCACGGCAGTACTGCCACCTATGTTACAGCTGTTCTGCAGGTGAGCCTCTGCTTGGTACTTATATCGTCTTGATTCTTCCATCAATCTGTTTTTTTATAATTTATCTACTTTCTAATGAAAGGATTACTCAAACATGGATAATTGCAAAAAAACAAAAAAAGAACTAGTTTAAGCCCAAAAAAAAATAGAATTGTTGTTGTTTTTCTGCCAAACAGGTTTGAAACCCTAATTTTTCTGGCTAACCTCAACATCGCCCATGCCTTTTAAAAACTATACCAATCCCACGGAGATCTCAAACAATGATGTAGGAACACATTCCCATCTGCGGAACATCATCCTGAACACCTGTAAGTTTCGAAGGCCTCATTGTGATATGAAAGATTCACAGAGGTTAAAAAACTGAACTTACGATAAGTCACGAAAGAACCCGATCAGATTGGCTTACTCTAAAAACCTCACAAGGAAGAGNATCGCCCATGCCTTTTAAAAACTATACCAATCCCACGGAGATCTCAAACAATTATGTAGGAACACATTCCCATCTGCGGAACATCATCCTGAACACCTGTAAGTTTCGAAGGCCTCGTTGTGATATGAAAGGTTCACAGAGGTTAAAAAACTGAACTTACGATAAGTCACGAAAGAACCCGATCAAATTGGCTTACTCTAAAAACCTCACAAGGAAGAGAGCTGCTCAAAAGCTCATTTTTTAATAAGCAAAAGCCTTTTCTCTTGGATAACAAGATGGACGAGACCAAGTAAACCGAACAAAAGGGGTGTCCGACGGGTGATACATGCATTTTATGGAAACAGACCCTCTGAGCGGAATTCAGACGGTATTATGCTACACATGAGTCATTATAATGGCGTTTTCCTTACGGTTATTCGTCACAAAAGATGATACCATGCCTCCTTCGAGAATTCAGTCCCAACGCTGACAAAGGCATCATAACGTCCCGTTAATTACATTGATGACTAATAATAATGCAAAACAGCCAGCTACTTTACCTTTCCGAGAGGGCCTGTTGTTTTGCCTTCTTCGGAGGTTTCGTCTAGCTTGAGCCCTTATCTATGGTAATGCTTCATAAAAAAAACGTCCATGACCTATTCCAACTTTAAACGTCCTTGGTGAAGGAAGAGTTTGGATGGTGGCTACTGGATGTCAAAGCCATACGTCTGACCCTGGTTGAAGCCGTACAACCCTACTGATAAAACCTCTCTGTACGTCTCATAGGTAAGAAGAGAAAGAGCGAATTCGCAGTCAATCATCTCGCAGTTAGAAATTAGTAGACGAAGTGCTTATGCGGGCCTTTCCACTGATAAACTGAGGACCTTCAGAAGTGAAAACAAAGAACAAACTATACAGCTGCGAAAGCCTCACTGTTTCGTTTGCAAAACTTGTTTTCAGACCTATTGGTCAATTATTATTCATTTCAGCTATTCGTAGTGACATTGTTGGGAATGACGTACTATGTACTGGAACAAGAAGGCTATTTTGTAAACCCGGATGCCAGTCGTCCGGTTGTCGCTTGCACCGGAACCCTTTATGCAATAGGAGCAATCATTGCGGTACCGTTTCTTTTGAAGTCGAAAAAAACTTTGCCTACATTACAAAGGTGTTGAGTCACTGGTAAAATTCCCAGTTACAACAAAACTGGTATCCGCATTCATTCCTTTCATGCCTTCGTTCAATCTTGACTTATCTGTCACCGTACCTACTACATACACCATCTATCTATCGCCTATCTAATATTTCATATTTCATCTAATATTTTCTTCTTTTATTCCATTCTCTCAAATCATCTTAATCTCTTATTCTTATTCCCTAAAAAAATGTAAAATTGAAAGGAAAAAAGTTATTTATAGCCTCCTCAGCCCTTTTTCTTTTCACAGCTATTTAGTTAATTCCCAAGGCGACTTCTATAACTCAAATTTTCGTACCTCTTCTACATATAATAAAGGGGTGGTCGATTTTGTGGTCAAAGTGGTCCTTCTTCGTTGTTTCCTTCTTACCCTTGATGAAGAGATAGATGGGGCGGACATTGTACAAAATCTGAAAACCGATTTGCTTGACGAGTGATGTTTTCATAATTTTTCATAGTATTTTTCGTAGGGGTCTTAATATGGACAAATATAAATAAACATCACAATCAACAAATGGTAATGATTAGTATTGAGTGATAAATTAACATTTTTTTTGTCAAATGAATGTTGTCATAATTAGCAATCAAATGAAAAATACTGCAAAATAATCAGTAAATGAACAGTGTAATGGTTATGACCACCAACGGCAGTCAATCAAAAGTGGTCAGAGTATGAGACACATAGATCATTCCAAAACAGAATAGATTGAAAAAGGACACTGGAATCATTCACTTCAATTCGTCATCTTTCGAACAAAGATTATCCTAGCATTACCTCAAAATTTTGAACTCCTTAGAATGGTGGCGGTCTTCCAAAACATTAAGCCAAACTGCGAAACGTCTGTTTTTGCTGCTTTTTGAAGAGGTCCTGGTCGGGAACACCGCCTCACCTCCCTAAACTTGAAACCGTGCAAACACTACGCACAAAGGCATGGCACAATCCGAATGCCCGTTCATAAGAAGGAGCGCGTCAGAATGCGATTCGATTCCATTATTGGTGGTAGCACTTACGAGAAGGCTCAAACTATGCTCATATCGAAGGCTCATTTAATCAAATTTCTGTGTATATGGAAGAGGGGAGGCCAGGAGGAAGCAAAGTTCGAACAAGCGCATTCGCCAACAAAACTAGTAAACAGGAGAGTCAACAATAGTTTATTAAGCGCCTGAGTAAATATCAATCCGATGTAGAGAATAAAAGGATTATACGGAATAGTTGGAAATAAAAAATAGAAGCATGTCGAATAGAAAAAACAATGGCATGGGCCAACTGTATCTGCAAAAGTGCATAAATCCGTATGGGAAGGCTTGGGAAGGACTTGATAGTGTTGGTAAGCAAGACAACACTTGAGTATCAAAGATAGGGTTCGTGAAAATGAGCATCACAAAAAGAAGATAATCTATAAATTGAAGAGAACCAAAAAGCTGAAATCTCTGCTGGTTCGGAGTATAATAACCTGCTTTTATTTTGAGGGAAAATCTCTGAAAAACGAGGTCTTCTTGGGGAAAGGTTGGTGAAACACTGATATTGTATAAGAGTTAGATAAAAAGATTGAAAAAAAGCATAAAAAGACAGTTTCGTGATGGACAAATCTTAGGAACTTAAACACCAATCAATAGAATAGAGACGCCTGTGACGGCGGTCGTGCCAAGATGGACCGTTGCAGATCAAGGGCGGTCAAAGTCGATTGAGGGTGGTCACGTAAATTAATATTACTTCAATAACTTATAAAGCGGTTACAATGGACGTCAATTATATCATTAAATTATGTAATACAAGTAAATGTAATATTAGTCACTAAGGATAGGACGCAAATAAGGAGCACGAATAGTGTCTCACTAATTTTTTCTAAGGATGCGCTATGCTTCCAACAACCACTCTCAAGAGCAGACCTTATACGGTGTAGCCGACGAGCACATGAAGCTCCGGATAATGCATTCGGGGTGCCATCTAACATCCTACCCATGATGCGCTACAGGGTTGACATCATGGGAAATAAACCTGGCATTTTGTAGAAACCCTTACCACTCGAAGGAATTCGGCGCTCCAGACAATTCATTTTTTCCCCGATCAGCACTTTTGCAGAGATTTGATCGACAGTACTTGATTGGAGGAAAGTTTCTCATTCAGGTGATCGGAGTAGCTACCGAACGGCGAGGGTTAGTGAATGCTCACGTCACTATTACCACTTCTTTGATGGTCTTCACTGATATGATCGCAATCGGCATTGTGTTCATTATGGCTATAGGTACGTCTAGCATTAGCGATTGTTTTTTTTCGAACTCCTCTATAACCAGTACTTTATTAGCCACTAATCAGGTAATTAATTATACAGTTGTAATAATCATTCACTACATTCAAAAAAGTCATCTCACTTATTTCAAGGAATTTCTTTTTTTACCTATACTTTTCACTTTTCGAATTTTATTAGCGGCCTACTGTGAAGAAACGCTTATGCATCCCACGGCCATGCAACCGGTGCCATAACATTGAGCGCAAAGGGTGAACTTCATTCAAGTTAATCTTCCAAGGGCTTTGAGCTCGGGAAAAATTCCAAGTTTGACTTGAAATTTTAAAATAGATTCAAAATTTGAAACGGCGTATATTTTGAAATCGCTATTATGAATTTGAATCTGAATTCAGAAAATTGTGAAGTATTCAAGAAAATGGCCATCAAAAGATCTACAAAGGCTAAAAAATCGAGACAAATTAGTGGTCGATAAGGATGGCAATAGACTGTAATGCCCTATCTATAAGAGCTAATATCGGACTCAAAAGCAATGCCCTTTTAGCAGTCATTTGGAAACATAATTTAAGCTACAGATAGGAACTTTTGCTCGAAATGAATTTAAAGTTTTATGTAATCTGAGAATCTGAAGAAAGCTATTGAGGAACACTTTTTTCAGGTAATCGAAACGACTTCACAAATTCTCTACCAAGCCATTTCGTCAACGAAAAGAAATTCTATGACGCTATGGGCCCATTTTGGATGTATCTGGGAGCCTTCTCATTACATATCACGGTGGCATTCAATATGTGCTGTTTACAACCCTACACAGTTCTACAGAATTGCAGAAAGGGTTTACTCGNTTTATTTCATTTCTCGACGTAAGTTAAGCTGAAAAATAGTGAGGTGGGGCAATAGTGGAGAGCACTCCCGCAGTATGCACAGTTTAAAGATCAAAACCTGTTCTACTGCCGCCTAACCAAACCACCAAAGCCTTCCATCTACTCTCCTGGGGTGCCCGGGCAACGCTTTTGGCGCTTTTTATCATTTTCTGTTTCGAATGAGAAAAGTTACTCCCAACTCTACTTGAGAAATAGTGCAGACGGACTTTTCAGAATCACTCTCCATAATTTAAGTTCAGGCATTTACTGTAACACCGCAGTATCAAAGAGGAAGGGTTCACAAAATGAAGGTAGACAAGAGCTTTCCGAATGAAACCCATTCAGGAGATAGGATTTGATCCGTGAAGTGTGCCTCCGTGTCTGTCTCGTACTCACTGCTCTATTTTTTATTATAATTGAGATTGCTATCGATCCCATTACTACGACAAAGATCCCGATTTCAGAGCAAAGCAAAATCAAAGAGCACCGCGATAGGGAAAGTGGAGGAACGTACTGAAAAAGCTGCTGAACTTGAAGAAACCAAGAAAAAATCCAAAGATCAATGATCTACTTCTGCTGCTCCGAATATTTCTCATGAAGGTTGATCTGATTGTAGATAAAAATAAAGATTAAAAAGTTCCTTTCTTCTCAGCCACCTGCAGAGTCGTCCAATTAATAACAGATGGAGAAATTAGAATGAACACTTTCTACTGATTATCTTGACTTGTGGCCTTCAAAAACCTAAATCTTTTCAGTTCTACAGAATTGCAGAAAGGGTTTACTCGATCAATACCTATATTTTGAGTTCATATCTTCACTGCTCTGTTCACAGTTATCCATAACGAATTCTCGCTACTCCCATGATTGATATTCCTTCTAATCATCATCCAATCGATGAAGACAAGGTTTATACGGTATGTGTTTATCTAACATCGAAGAGCCCTTACCAATTGACTGACAACTTCTTGATAGTGTTGGTATACGCCATGCACTGAACGTCCTCTTAGAATCGCACGACTAGTTAACTACGTGGCTTACGCAGTACCCTATGAACGTCTTATTAACGGGTTAATGTTTTCTATATGCAAATGAAGCAAACTCAGATCAAAGAATCCCGAAAAAACGAAAATTTGTACGGTATTTAGAGAAACTCGATATACAGAGGCGTACGTGCACCGTCCGTAGCGCCTCTACTTATATACATCGACACCCCAAGATAGTCAGTTATTTGGAGGCAACAGCCTTCTTACTACAAACGACTTTTATTCGAAGAGCTATAAAGCAAGAAGCACTGACAATGATTAGGCAAGGCTTTCCGTTGAACAGAATTGATAAGACACGAAAAGCCGTAAACGAGTATCACAGTTAGGCATACAAAAAATGATGGAGAAAGTGATGTAGGAAATCGAAAACATCGAAATGGGACTAATACACATACAAGCAATACAGCTACAGTATCCCGCAAATCCAAAATGGTAAACAATGCGTTCAAAGCAAGCCAGGAAGTTTGATTCATAGTTTATAGCTCAAGGACCATGAGTCTGTATTTTACAGAAAAATCAGAGAAGCCACGGATGCAAATCGATTTGATCGATTGACGAGGGGGAAGCCTTTTTCTAGGCACGCCTGGAATGAGCGTATGTACAGGAAATGGAAATGTGGAGACATCTAAAAGCCCTTAATCAGTCGTCTGAAGATGTGTAGCGCAGGTAGAACGGAATTCCGTGCAGCACATTGTCGGCACGTACTTCACCCGAGACAACAGGGTACAGGCCTGAAAAGAAAGGCAGTTCTCGGATACGGTAATACTTTTCTAGGAAAAACCAAAAAGAATATTTTGTAGCCCAGTGGCCGCGCTCTCACCGCCATCATATCGCGCTCTGAAGCTCTTTTCTCAGAAGAGTTAGGTCTACAATCAGCAGGGTCAACCGCCTAGAAAAATGAAAGCCTCAAAGAAAGGAGTTGCAGATAGGCTTGCTCTCGAGTTTTTGGACAAAGTCGTTTTGGATTAAGCCGCGCACGCACTTTCCGTTCAGAGCAGCAAAGGTTCGAGTATCTGGTCATCTGTGCAATGGGTTGCGCAGGTACGTTATGATCAAGTCAGCAGAATAATTCCTACCATTCTCCCCTTACTATTTTCTTTCAGGAGCCCCTAAATCGCCCTGGGAAACCATTTCCTGCAACTCGATCCCCTTGAGGTATCCACTTCCTTTGTTCTTGGGTTTCAATGTAAACTTAGAAATCATAATTTGCTTAACCCTTTGACTCTCTCCATACCGATCACTCCTACAGCTCTCGAAACGTTTCGAGATGATAAGGTAGCCTTCAGCTAATTCTAGTACTAGGGATTATAGTGCAGAGAAACTCTTTTTACCTTCCACATCTGTTCGACCATCACTTGATTGTGCTTATCAGCCCATTCTTTCACTTTGCCCAAATAGTCAGCAAAGTATCCTTCGCAAACCATCAGATCAGTATGACCTTCGGAACATCCTGAATCGAAACCATCGTTTAATAATCATTTCGTACTTAAAAAACAATGAAAAACTCAGCTGACCAGTTTCCAAAATTCTTGCAACATCAGGCGCAAGTTCTTTCGACAGAACAAGCGGTACTCCAGTAGTCACATTAACTGCTGTGGTGGTGGTGGCTTCTTCAGGCTGCAACGTTGTGGTTGGCTGCGGCAATTCAGTGGTCGAGACGACAGTTTCGTTTGCCTCGAGTTCCACTGGAGCTGGAAATGTCAGTGCAGAGTCTATTTGGGATTAGGCTTCGCAGGTGAGATCTCTCAGGTAGCCCAGACTTCCCCTAACAAAGGCTTGCAGCATTTAGCGCGAAACTTCGCTTTTTCACAAAAAATCCAAAAACAGCATACCGACAGAGGGTTCTTGGACTGATACATTAGACGCCTGGCTGAGTTCGCCTTCCACAGTAGTAGTCTCCAGCTTAAAACAAGTTAAAATTGGAACAAAAATTGGGAAATAAAAAAACAAACAAACACATAATGAAAAAACAAGCTCTCACGAATTGTCCGGCAACAGCTCTCATCTCGGTATGCTGAAAAACATTCTTGAACGTTAGTAGGGAATTTAATCCATACAGAACAAGAGATTTTATTCATTTTATCAAAAGTTCACTACCCCACCAATTTGACCATCAACAGCCGCGTGCGTCTGCAGCGCGTTCCGGAAGAGCTCCAAACAAGCTCTCTAAGTGATGAGCGTCATTGTAGATGACCTACCACGGACAGACAAAATTCAAATTCGAATAGGAAATAACTTCATGTCAAAATTCACAATGCCCCGGAGCTAATAACCTTAGTTTTTTAAATATCTATTTTTAAATATTTAAAAATGTTAAACATTTTTTAAATATTAAAAAGAGAATAGCTTAAGGAGAAATCACCTCGACAGGACGTAAGCCCTCCGGTGTTTTCTCCTCAATACCTGATCCGACTTCATCAACTCCTGATCCTGGAAGCAATCATTGAATAATTCAAACCTTAAAATCCCTATTTATGAGTGCCAAAACCGCTATTTTATTGCGCAAAATCGTATTCTAAAAAACCTAACAAACCTTCTGGAACGGAATCAATCGATTGAGCAGCCGAAGCAAAAATTGAGGTTTCGTTGAGAGTAGGTTCCGAGCCACTCGATTCAGTCTCGACATTCTGTAGGGTTTGCTGCACAGCAGTATCTTCGGACTCTTAATTATTCTATTAGTTTATAATCAAAAATTAATCCTCTTAAGCCACTGATCATTTAAAGCATGACGGTTCTATACAATAAAACTTTCAAAGGTTAGAGAACTGCTGCTTCCTTCGAACAAGTTCTATCTTTCGCGGAGGCTCTAACCCTTACCCAAAAGGACATCCTCTGCGCTAGTAAATGTGGAAGAGTTCCCCTCGGAATTGGAAAGCAAACGTAACTCACCGTGGCCTTCGTCGATTTCAGTAGGAACCTCCTTTTTCACGAAGCTTCCCTCCTCCGGTGGCTCCCCAACCTCAGACGGTCCTGTAAACAGTGTTTTCTCTGAGCGATCCAACTCGGATTGAACAAATGGGATATAGGCAAGCGGTCGCGTCGCGTTTGTTGTAATGAAAAACAGTAAAACCAACTTCTCAGTACGGTTTCCTTTTCTTTTTTCACAACTTCTTCTTGATTGGCATTCTGATCTTGGCACAGGTCTATTCCACAGACCAAGACCGCTTGTGGAGTACTCTTAATAAAAAGCAGTTGATCTTTAATCGCCTAACCCTTGATTATCACCGAAAAAAAAAACAAAAATACCTAGTAATCTGGAAAATACTAAAAAATTGCATTCAGATCCCTGAAACTCTTCCAGAAACTGACATGCTAGATTATTTATTTCATGATCTGAGAAATTACCTCAATGCTAGATGGCCCAAATGCCTCTCCCTCCAACTCTATATCCTCCCTATTCATTCCTCCTTCCTTTCCTTCCTTTTCTACCATATTTTCTGCTTTTTGCTTGCAAATTTTTGAGTAAATAGACCGCTCACGTCATGCTTCTTCACGGTGTACTGTCCTGTCCACTGACCAGCCAATATAGCTAATTGAAGTGTAACGCAGCCAGTATCATCCTTAAGCGTATTTTCAATAACAGCATTGTTAGCAAAATCGATAATCGACCAAATAGCAATCAATGACTTACTGAGTACAAATCGAAGACACTTTGTGGAATAGTGAATTGCACAACAGACCGATCATTGGCGACTTTTGATCCCTTCAAACATTACTATCAAAAAAAAACAACAACAAGAAAACATTCGTATTGGACGCAGAAGACTACAGAAATGCACCGAGAACTCTTTTCATGGATGCAGAGCACATGTGAAGCTAATCGCTGAGTATATCTACTCGTCAAGTCTTCCTGCTCACCACCTGCTACCACACCAGCAGCCATTACCAAAACTACAGAGTAAAAGTGAAATGTCGGATGTGTCATAGCAAAAACGTACTTGGGACCCAGCGCTGCTTGTACTGCCCAACTAGAGTGGCTACACTATGCATTCTCGATTAGATGAGCTTACAACTCACCTGGCTATTCAGTACCGGTTTGACGACAGAGTCAGGTTTCGGAAGACCGTATCCATGAGTTTGGAATCCTCCAACTGACTTTGTTTTGCCGTCCTCCATGAATGCGATGGCAATTTTCAAATCCTTAATTTGTAGTAGATAGAACTTTTTCGACAAACCAAGCCTTGATTTTTATTTTAGTCTCAGATGATTTGATTTCCCACCAACGGTTCCATCTTGCCCCCCTCCTCCTTCCGCAACCCGATACCATGAAGTCTAGACTACCTGGAATCCGCTGGGGAGGCTAGTGCTTGACCGTCTTCAGATGAGATCGAACTCTATAGATGAATAACTCACAATTAGATCGAAAGCTGTTGTACTGAGCTATACCCTCCGATTCAATGAGAAGAATGCTGATCTGGACCTGATTACTAATCAGACCAGTTCTAAGTGAATCGACTATAATATGCATAAAATGTTTGCAGTATAATTCATGGAACTGACGTCCTCCGAAGAAATCGAGGCCATTTCTTTTCGAGAAGGTCGATCTGTTATTGTCATAATGGTTTTTGTCCAGTGATGTGTGAACCTTAGACAGATTGTATGTGTGGGGGCAATTTTGAGCCGATCGGTTGCGCGAATCGGTTAAGTGGAAAGGAATATGAGCCGTCGACCTTGCTCGGTTGAGGTGACGAAGTGAAAAATCGACTTGGGTCTGTGTATGTGTGGATGGATGTAACTCTCAGGTACGCCATAATAGCGCCCCGATTACTATTCGCTAAGGATGGCTGGAACGAGTTTTTGACAGCCCCCAGCCGTGGCATAACGACGAGCCACCTCAGATTAATGGAGCATACGTTCCCAATCTTAGCGCCTAGCGCCCGCAGATCATTCGGCTCAACGATTAACCAAGGACACCCAACTCGAGACGAGCTTCGAAACTGGAACCATCGAGGCTTCACACTTCCGCTCCTCGCTACGGGAAACAGCAATCGAATTCAGATAGACTGTAGGCGTGTTCAGAAGGAAAGCTTTGGCTCAGAACCCACCATGTATATATACTTGGAGATTGCCAAACTAACTTGTAACTACCTATAAAGAATTTAACTAATCAGAGAACAGAATCAAGACAACTTCACGTTTAGACTGCTCCGAACTACTGTAATAAAAAAATCAGTTCGATATTAGCTCGACAATTCAAAACTACAGTATACGGTGTCAGTACCTCTGAAAAAGTCGGGTAACAGTTGACATGATATTAGGCTTTCAGTCTGTATGTTCCCTTTTGTACCATAGGCATTGGGCTATGGTTACGGAACCTTTTGCTCAGGCCGATTGTTCAGCTAATGACCGATAAGGCGCTGAGCAGGTAGGAAGCATCGGTTCAATCCCAGAAAGCATCAAACTTTATCCTGTTCTTATTTCTCTCGATATCATCAACAAAACCCAACGACGTAGCTAAATTACCGTATGCCAGTATCATACTACCGTAATTCTACAGTACTACCGTACTACCAAAACTGTTCTCACCACCCCATTAAACTGAATATTGAAAACCATTCCTTCGAAAACATGGAATTTTCGCAGTTCCTCGCAAAACTAACCTCCATTCCACGTCCAATGCCGACTGCCGACCACCATTTGCCCTTTTTCGGCTCTTGTTCAATCACGAACTCGACATTATTGCCAACAGCCTTCCACGTTACGGTATTCTCGTCTTGTCTGTGTTCACAGGTCGATGCATCCGATCGTTTAACAAGGCCTGCAAATGTTTCATAGAATCCAAACGAATGATGCAGAACGTCTTGATGGTTTACTCAAGCGCTAACTTCAACCGAAATGTCACAGCACAAACCGGTATCGGTGAATCCCAACCATTTTGGTTGCAAATCGTTTTCCTGATTAAACAAATCTTTGCGACGTGATCATAATTGATCTTCGACGTGATTAAAACTTTTATTTAGGAGGAGCAAAAACTTGTGAAAGAACTTTCTTATAGACGTCATAATCGACGGCTCACCCAGCTGTTTGGTCCAACAACAGCTTTGAGGACAACTGACAAGACCGACCCCTAAGGGAGCACAGCTGGTCGAACACAGTAAGCCACATGCCAAGGAAATCTACTCCACATCCGCAGAAATCTACTTCTTGAAAACCACCTGATATACCTTCCAATACCGGGCACAAACCCAGCTTCATAGTCCGAGATGGGCAGGTCCCGAACCTGCGCACTATACGATGATGAATAGAGACGATCTGCTTCAGACCCTTCTTTCACCAGAATGACTTGAACCAGAGGAAAAATCAAAAAAATATGAAGCAGCTGGCTTCGTCGGGATGCATTACGCACTTGACTTACGTGACTGCGCATAGATTCGGCACCAGGTAGCTTGCTCACTATCCCTCATTCTTATTTGAGAAGAGATGAACCTTCATCGACAGTGCAGCATAATACAAACTCCACAGTTCCTCCTTTCCTTTCGTTTCTGGTCTTTTTTCTCTACACATAGTGAAGTGAGTACGGAGCTCGAACTTTCATTTTGAGAGCAATTGAATGAGCTCTTTGGAATTAATTCTCCCGACAGAAGGCCATCTTTGACTCTCAATCTGAAGACGACCTAGACAGTTCGCATGACGACATAATGCGCTGGCCGAGTACGTAAAACCGTCATTCTGATTGAAAAGAAATGAACTACTCCGCTATAAAAATTGATTGCTCGTCTAAGTAACGATTTTTTGAGAACATTCGATCCGCTTACTATTCTGACGAAGCAGTGGAGTGAATCGAAAGTTTAGTAGTATCAAAAATCTCCGTCAAACGCCGAACTCGACCTGGGGAAACAGGCCATTACTACTTTCTAAAAGAAAAAAAAATTATGCTAATGATTCCTTACTCAAAAAGCATCTGTAGTGTTTAGATACATCTTTTGTTGCGGTGGAGGGAGGATTTTGAATATTCCCATTCCCAATTATAGGAAACGTAGGGAATCAAGAGAAACTGACTTTGGTTTTTGAGAAAAAGGTTGAATGAACTTTATTGTGCCACTCTTTCAAAGCACACCATTTAAAGTACCAAACATAGATCTTTGGCTACCTCTTTCAATTTATTGAAGCTATCCTTTCCTTGAAATGCTCCAAAGTAATCCTCTCCACGTACAGTACGAACCCTTATCACCTGGGCCATGACATGATCATCTGACCCGAGATACCAAAAATCATGGAACGTTTCAATAAACGAGTCAATCGTACATCATAATATGCGTGGGAACTAAAAAAGAGTCTAAATGTAGAACAACTTGGGGGAACGATTTCCTGGGAAGTGCATTACTATCACCGTACTGTCGCAGTGCGATGAGGCGGCAACTTCCAATGATCAAAAATCGACAGCTGAAGGGCATCCCACCACCGCCCTCTTTCTTGACACCCATTGATCTTTAACCGATTTATGCTGCTTCAAGAAACCCCGCCGTCAAGCTGAGGAAGCTTGGTTATTATGTAAAAAGCGGTCGTCATGTCGGAATGTGACTTGAACCAAACCAGAAAAGCTTCGCAGAGTGTCAGTCAAGCAGATGATTTGTAAATTGCCGCCTCTTTCAATGTTCCTCTCTTTCCTAAACAAGAAGCCCTAAAAGGTGCTGCTTCAGTCAAACGACCGACGAAACAACGAAACATCGCTCCTTGAGAGGACAAACACTCATCGTACGCGACCAAGGAGCACATTAGCCTCCGAATCAACTCGATACCAAAAAAATTCCGCGCTTATCGAGAAAAACTAATAAGGACTTTTTGGTGCTCTACGGGCATATCGGGCATATAGAGTTGATTGAAGGTGTTGGACAGGTGCTACTTAACATTCGTGAAAGGTTAGCCATTCCCTTTCCTGAAAAGTTGAGCCTTCCAGAACCCATCGACCAAATTGAAGCAAACGAAACATAGGAAAAGCACTAATGAGAACATAATACCGATAATGGTAGGGGAATGTTTGGAAGCAGCTTCCTGATCCAACTGGACAGAGAATGCTAGCCGCCTAATGTTTGAATAAGGCGATTCAAGAGGCGGAAAGGATCAAACTCCACAACTTCGACCCTCGTGCCACACTCCCCGCCATACAAAGTTACCAAGAATCGCACGCCGCATATCGTAAGCATTTCTGACTTCTACAATGACTAATTGCTGCCAGCCGATCCTCTCGACATACTTTCCTACTCACTGTAGGGTAACCAGTATTAGCCAACTTGAGTGGCTTCGGGCAGTAATGAAAACGGAAGGTTCAGCCTGTCTTGACCGAAATTCGATCTTTGGCTGTACTGGGATGAACGGCTTTCACATACATGTGCGTCAATGCAGTTTTTCAAAAAGAAACCTCTTCTGACTGAAGAAATTCAGATATTGACTTGTCATTACTGTAGACGTTCCTACAGTCGCCCCATGTTACAGTCTACTTAAAATTTTCCGTATCCATCGATCTACCCGACACAAATTCATTCACAGCTGCACCAGTACCCATTTACTAGCTAAGATCACTCCAAATTAAACAGCATTGCGGTCTTTTTTTCCAGACTTTGAACCCGTTCACAGCTCGTCGAATTGTTACCAGTTACCCAAACATGGCAACAAAGACTTTTCCGAATTAGTGCTTAATTTGATTTTGGGCACACTCAGCCACTTAACGGCAACTTCATTGACTTTCATTGGACAGGTTTTCCTATTTTGAGCAGGTCTTCAAGATTTCTTTTTCATCGACTTATGAGAAGTCGTCTGATAGTTCTTGAAATTCTCGCTGCCTTTCCTTTCCCAAAACTTCCTCAAAAAATTTTCCCTGTTCAATCAAAAAGGATACTGTATGAAGTTTCTATGAGTTGGATACTTGTCAAGGGCCTTCTTATCAAAAATTTTCTGGAATCCGAAGTATTCACGAGAATTCCTCTAACGAGAGCTTACCTGAAGTCTCATCTTTACTGCTGCATGTCACTGGGATGTCACATACCCGGCGAGTTTCCAATCGGTTCGGGACCGGTACCCTGCCATCTTCATCGATTCTGACAATTTCCGTGGGAAAGAAGAAAGTCTGAAAGCTGTCAATCTCAGCTTTCGATCATTATCAGATCATGTTAGGCTATGTGTATGCGATGTTTAGCAGCCCTTGATCTCATATATAACCGGTCGTATGGCATGAATGATACACAGTGAGACTATAGGGATTAATCACACCGCCGGTGTGCTTACCCCCTCCCCTACCGCCATAGTGGAACTACTACAAAGTGCCATTGCCGAAGGGTCAGATTCTTTTCAGCATGTTTCTCATGAATGGAGCAAACGAAACGAGTCACAGGCTGGAACCGCATTCTGTCACCTCTGAACAACACAATAACTACTCATTGTCTCACCCACAAGGGTAGTGTAACTGCTGCTGTGGTACCCTGAGCATAAGATATGTCCAAAAGCTTCCTATAGTCAGGCAGATCTTATCAAAACTAAAAGATGGTTGAAAAAGTTGCATGGTGTTCAGAAAGAAAACTCCAAAAAAGAAAAGAAATAAGAAAAAAGAAATTATTCGAAATTGTGACTATGATNCAGCGAATTCCCTGTAGAGAAAAGGTGTACAGACAAATTTGTTACAACACTGACCGAGTGGGAACAAAATAGCTAAGTGAGGATGGGATCAAACTTGGTAAGCCCTTTTGAAGTGCGCCACGTGCTTAAGATACCTCAAATATCCCAAAACGCAAGCAATGTGAACGGCTCAGGCAAAGACGAAGTTCAATGCTTTCATGAGCTTGGTCTTGCTAAGAGTGCAAGACCTAATCCTACCCAGATACGAAACCTAAGACCTCTTTCAAGCGTTGCATTCCCTATCAAAAAGTCAACAAGATCGGAGCTAGCGAAAGGAACGGTGGCTCCAAGTCAATCCAAGAACAAAAATAGGAGATCTGGATCTATTAGAAGGGAATTTAGGGGAATGGGAATGTTGAGGGCAATCCAAAATCATTTCCTTTCCAATATATACGATTAAGGCAAAATTTTTAAAACTCTCTATCAGTTAATCACTCCCACTGTCTCACTAATCCATCATTTATATGTCATCTACATATATGACCAGACATCAGTCGCATGACCACAAAGCCAGCTAGATCTGTCATGGCAAGCAATGCGATATGTACTCATTAATCTCGAATAAGAAACTAGTTATCTACGTAGTTACATATGTTTGTCAGAAAACTAGAATACGTTATAGCTATGACAGGAAAAAAGACAGTTGAAGGGATGTAAAAGTCGGATTCTCTTTGCGGGCTAGGGAGAGCCTCCACAATAAATGAAAAAGGGGAATTCTTCCACTCCCTTTCTCACAAAGCGGTGTCCGAGAACCGTTCTCAGCATTATTCCAGCCTCAGCAGCCGTTATATTACCCTTAAGGACTGCGACCACCACTTAGTCTGCTTTTACACTACCCTTCAGCGAGGCTATAGAGAACAGCAATCCGAGCGAGCCCCTTCAGATAGCAAAACATAGTTCTTCCTTCACGGGAATCCTCGCCGTTTTCGTAGAAATTTGTTTTGGCACCCTCTTATTGAGAGAAGCTGATCTTGACAAACGTACTTTCGTCTCGAGATCAACTCTCATCTACTCACTAAGGAGCTTTCCAAAACTCAATAAGATAGTAAGTAAAAAATCACGTACAATGCAGTTTGACAGATCTGCATCGAAACGATCGCTTGTGTAGGACGGACGAGCGAATTCTGCCGTCAGTATGTTGTTCTGTAGATCAAATTGCAGTGATTGTACGTTGGTAATGTTGTCGAGTTCGATTCTATCATCTTCGACCACGTGCCCATCCACGACACCAATCTGACGGTTGCGGACGAAGGCTCCGACGGAATCCACCTGAAAACCCTTCCGCTTGATCTTTCACACTCTTTCTCTCAATGCTGTCTGTACCAACCGGATCGCCTTCTCCGAAAAAGACGCCGGCCCAAAAGTTCTTCAAGCCATTTGACTTGGCAGCCATCTTGAAAACGATCTCGGTGCTGCCGTCGTCATATTGCCATGTCATCTGCATGACCTCGTTTGTATAAGAACATGATGGGTCCTGAACGGGAAATTCATGAGCATTTTTCCATGAAATCAGCAGATTAGGGGGTTGGACTTTGCTGCAAATCGGTAATCGTTTTACGATTTCACGCTAACGAGAAAGTAGGGATTACGATGGTGATTTAGCCTAAACGGCATGGCCACCGAAATGAAATACGTGGTGCGCAGCAAGGTCACACACCTACAGACACATACAAATTTATGAACGAATACCTTGGGTTCAATTCCGCCCAGTGACTTAGAATTGATGAGAATTGGCAAAATGACGAAAAGAAGCCACGGCGTTACGATCCACATCGTCCTTCACTGAGAATTTGCAAGTGCGGACAGGTGATGGAAGTGTCAGAGCCAGCTACTTCGACCGCCCCATTTGCCCGCCCTATTCCGCCCACAAGCGGGGGAAAACATGGGGCAAGGTTCAAAGTGAACAGAACAGATCAAGACGGTAACAAGATCCCAGAGATACTGGATTGGAAACACTAGGGAGAAGGATGAACGCGGCACCGATTGTTGAGGAAAAACCCCAACAGCATAGTTTTCACATCACTCTAGTAATATGCTCCTAACCGGAATCGCATTCTTAAGGGGAGAATTACCAAAGGTCTTTCTCCTCCGACATACGATGTTGTCCCATAAGTTTCTTCAGAGTTCCAGAATAATCCTACCCGACCACATTCACAGCGATTCTTTATTTAGTTATTTATAGAAAGCGATTACCCAATCGTCAATTTTATAGGTATATTACCTCGCTGCAAAGAATTTTAAAGTAGTTATGACATTTAGGGGTCTCCCACGCTTGCGAACTCACGTTCTGCGACAGGTCTCAGAGGTCTACGAGTGAAACATCCCACCAAGACTTCAGCATGAGTTCTTTCAGCTGCCCTTGGTTGCACATCTCCAAAAAAGATTTTGTTAATTATTTTATAACAAAAGGCAGTGTTTACCGTACCTATTTCCTTACGCAATTTTTTGCTCGTTCGTTCTCTTCAATTCTGATGGAGTTTTACTGAACCGAGACAGTGAGCTAAGGCTCAAGTACGCTCCTTAGTTTTCCTCTCAGCTGCCTTGGGCGTAGCATCTCTTCAGAGAAGGAAGCCATATCCCGAAAGCAAGCTATGTTTGTTAACTGTATTTGTTTGTTTATTTTCGCGATAGCTTAGTCGTTTATGCTCTTAAAATTCTATTCTAGTTAAGTTCAATTACCGAACTAACAACAGCTACCATTCTATTCGTCTCATGACCTTAGCCAGGTGAACTTCCAAATCATAGCGCCAGATTATGCCCAAGTAGCTTTGAACTATGCTAGAGGCTCCTTAAGTCAAACACCAAGACTTTCCCGATGATGCCGTGGCAGAGAACGAAAGTTGTACCTTTTACCGATCCAACACACGCAGCGCTATCCGGTTTCTCCGAAGCAACAAACTTTCACCGTAGTCTCAGTTGAATATTGAAGCTGCCAAGTTTTCCATCCACGAACGGTGCAGACACCATGTTTTTTTTAAAGTATGTATCTACTGACTGAATCTCCTTGCTAGAAATTATAGTTGCTATCTTTTAAGGAAAATGTAATTGGCAAACTTCCAAAGACGAGAGAGCAGGTAGAGGAATTGAAAGGACGGAACTTGTACTCTTATATTACGCCGGGCCCCCAAAATATTTTATGTCACTCAAATAGGGATAATAGGGACAAAAGGCCTTGAATGACTGGTTGTCAAGGGAGCAACTTTCGGAAACGAAGGCTCGATTCATATTTCCGTCATTGCTCCCTCTACGAATTAGTCACTAGTTCACACACCTCCACATTTCAAAGAAAACATTCTCCAACATTCTTTAATATAAGGACTGTTGATGAAAGATAAAAGATTCTCAGCCGAAAAGAGTTCATCAATCCACCATTAATGTTTCTTCTGAATTCGAAGCCGCTAAATTTCTCTCCTTTCCGACTCATAATAAAAATTTCTAACGCAGAAAAAACCGAGGACATATCGGATTAAAACAGTAGAACCCAGATTCCCCACTTCCAAATAAAGGGGAAGTCTCCATACCTTTTTCCTCTTCTTCTTCTTCTTCTTGTTCTTGTTCTTCTTCACTTCGAAACTTCACCTTAATTTTATGGCTAATATGTGACGGCAGAATAAAGCAACCCGCATACGGGATCAGAGAAAACTATTTTCGCTTAAAAGGTTCTTACAGTTGTCCGGCTCAGGCACACGACAGACAGCGGATTTGAAAGTTATATGATCCTAGCAAAACACCAGCCAATCAACAGCTTCAATGTCCATGCAGATGTGTGCATGCTTTCAGATAACTTCTGAGTGGAAAGCGTGTCTTAGCTACTGGAAGGCAAATATTGGGTCACCTACTCTTCCTATCTTTAGTACTCCTCGATTCATACTTGGGAGGAGAGGTGCAGTGAGAAGTGGCTTCAGTAACGGATACATAACTATGAGGCCAAGTCTCGAGTCCAATGCAAAACAACCTCTCCACTCCTGCGCCGTCGAATAATTGCGAGCCGAATAGACAAAAAACTAAAGCACTCCTTGCTAGGCAATGTCGAGATGGCACAGGCCCCTGAGAATCGACACAGTTCAGAACACAAGCCAGAAGCAGGGCCCCTTTAGAATATAGCTATAAGGACCAAGCCTTTTATCTTTCAGACATTTTACTTTACAAAATGTTCTAACTCATGAATTTATTCGGCTTTTGAACCAGTAGGCCTGATTGAATTCATGCCATGCTGTGGTGGGAGGAACTCGAACTTGAATGCGAACGTAAATCAACCGTGTGAGGGTGTTGCTTCTTTCGTCTGCGCTATGCCTCATGAAATCATAACCATGACGATTGCACTGAAACTTCTACCTCCACCTTCATTGGCAGCAACGAACATATTGCTCGTACTACTTTGTCAGCCTTAATGTGCCTTCCAAGGTCTCGAGTGGGAATGATCCTTTCGAGAGCAGAAATCGCCTTCTTCCGATGTCAAACCGTTTTTGAGATTGAGACGGAAACATTACTCCACTCAGTGTCCCAGCGCCCTGCCCAGCACAACAGTTCCGATGACTTGTTCGAACTCATCCCGACGTGATGCAGACTTTCACCAGAATCCGGTCACACGTAGGTAAACTCGCCAGTGAGTTTTTTCTTGCAAGATCTACCTATAGGTACTCCTGTGAGTGGACACAGGTAGTGCCAGCTCCTATCGTGATATGAATAGCAGCGGACCCCAATTTGTATTGGGACTGATCTCGACTATTCATTCGAAGACATCCTATTGGACCAAAAGTAAGTCATCATTTGAACTTCGACGCCTACTGGTCGGTTCTTTGACTCATTGCTGTTACCAATGTAACTGTAACTTCATGCTTGTCAAGCGCGTTCGCTAAACTAGCGCCCACTGGGTAAATCGTAATTCTTTCAGCTCCCTTCCTGTTTCCCCGATGCGTGTCTCGAAACCCCTGTCTGATGGATTACACTGATTTGGGTGTAATCACCTGTTTATCTGTCAGGATGGATGGTAACGGTACAGTTTTAATGACAACAGATGACGCCTTTTGACATTGATCAACCACGTTTTGGCATGAGCCTCCTCACTCTGCTTCTTCATAATCATGGTTGCTTTTTTGAATGAGCATGCGGCCTACACAAAGACTGGGGCAGTCAGTCGAGCACAAGCCGAAACGATCACCCTTCCACATGATTCTGCCATATGAAGTCAATTGGAGGACTCGCAAAATGTAGCTCCCACCTCGAAACCATACGTATGATAGTGCGCTACTTAGCACTACACCACTCCAACCAAACCTAATTCAGAAATGCTTCGTTGTATTACAATGCAAAACTTAACGGAGCTACGTGCTGCTCTCTATGACTCTCTTGTGGTATCGTATAACCGTTCTAGCTCACTAATTCACTATCTATCCATTGTGACTCCAACGATCGCCCCCAAAAGCATGCTCGCGCCTATGCTCAGCATTTTGATGACTTCTCTCAAGATATCTTATGGTTGACAGACGTAGCATAAACGTCAGATACATCTTGATTCTGCTTCGCAGTACTACTTCACCTTATACCCCTAAAACCACTTGGACTTGCGCGTTGGGAAAAGGAAACCATTTGACGTATTGTATGTGAGTACCATGGTCTCGTTTCCCAACAAAAATTGCTCATTTCGAACTATAATATAATACATTGACTTCGCTATGAAACATTCATCATCATAATTCTTTTCTGTGTATGGCATTATTCTGTGTGTTAAAATTCTTTCTTCCTTTGTACCTTTACAGTCTCGAGAGTATTGACAAATTCTTAAATAAGTATGAATAAAGAAATAAGTAGGCGCCATAGGAGAAATGTTCATGCACAAGTAATTGCTAAATCCATAGCAGGGTGAATTAAAGTCGATGCAAGTTGACTTAACTTAAAGCAAGATCTCTGTTTCAACAGAAGTATACTCCTACGTATCTAAAAGAGCCGCAGCTCAAACCCTTATTGACCAACGCCATTCATAGCATCACTGACCCTTATTCTAAGGTTGAGGTGGTGTAGTGGCAAGAGGAGTACTGTCACACACGCGTTCAGGGGTTCAAATTCCGGATTGATACTCGCCTTGACCGACCAAGCTTTCCAACCCGTACATAGGTCCTCCAAATCAGCACCTGGCTCTCTTGGGGGATGAAAGCTGTGACATGAACGTCAACTGACCACCGTAAGTCAGTGTATAGGCTAAATACGCATTCACTACGGTTCTGAATCAGGTTTGAATATGAAGCGCATCCCAAAACCATACTGACTGACAGCAAACGTTTTATCTTTTTCTTTTCATAACACTTGATAAGGGATCGGGCACTAACCCGCTACAGTATCTATTTCAAGGTTGGAGGTTTGGAATGTTTGAAAGAACTGCTTGAGGTAGGACAGGTGAGACGGAGATGTCACACCTGCCCATCCAACCACAAGCAACTCTCACAAATTAACGGAACGCGTTTAGACCTCTGAGAAAAAAACAATCACGTCGTCGGGTGAACCCTACAACTGTTCCACGTGAAACCTTTGAAAGGTGTCCACAGTACTGGCAGAGTAACCTGATGTTCCAATATTACTACGACAGAGAGGGAGAAGTCGGGAGCTGAGCGTTTTTCAAACGCTGATAAATTCAGTAAGAATGCGCCACGCATTTAAATCCGAATTTGTCATCGTACAAAAGGTTCTAAAAATGGACTGCACATAAATTGGACTAGACCGTGTCGTCGCTTTTTTTTTATAAATCGCGAACTAGTTCGATTACGAACTAATTACGC